AAACTATGTTTCACAACTCCCTTGACGAAAAGTTAAAGCGAAACCCGAAAATATTCTGGAAATACGTTAAGGCCTCAAAGAGAGACATCACGGGCATTCCACCCATCAAAGAATCCGGACAACTAGTAGATAAGGACAGTGATAAGGCGATGCTCTTCAACAGTTATTTTGAGTCTGTATTTACGCTGCCTATTGCGGATGCCATCCCTTCATTTTCCTTTACTTTAGGAGAGAGTATGCCTGATATTGAAAGAAGCCAAGATGGAATCCTTAAGCTGGTAAATAATCTTAAAGAAAACAAAGCCACCGGGCCGGATGGACTATCTTGTCGCGTCCTTAAGGAATGTTCTGGAATCTTGTCATGTTTTTTGTATGTTTTATTTGAAAGCTCATTGTCCTCTGGCTGTCTGCCCAGCGAATGGAAAAGAGCACATGTTGTTCCAGCACACAAAAGCGGACCAAAAAATAGGGTAGACAACTACAGGCCAATTTCCCTACTCTGTGTGTGCTCGAAAATACTAGAACAGATAATTTACAGTAATCTATTCAAACATCTTGGTATAAACAACTTCCTTTATCCTAATCAGCATGGATTCAGAAGTGGTTTTTCCTGCGACACTCAGCTAGTTGAATTTTACCATGACATAGCTTATTTCTTTGATAAAGGACTGCAGGTGGATTGTGTCTTTTTAGACTTCCAAAAAGCATTTGACGTGGTCCCCCATAAATTATTATTGCAAAAAGTAAAGTCTCTTAACCTACCTGATGGTCTTTTTAACTGGATTTCAGACTATTTACAGAATAGAAAACAGGCAGTTCTGGTCAACGAGAAAACATCAACTTACGTAAACATAACGTCGGGTGTCCCCCAGGGGTCTGTGCTGGGGCCTCTTCTGTTTTTAATATATATAAATGATATTTCTGTTGGAACTGGATCAAGCATTCGCCTCTAGGCAGATGACTGTGTCATATATAGTAATATTAGGACTGAATCGGACTGCCTGGCTTTGCAAGAGGACATTAATAGAATTTCACGGTGGTGCGACAAGTGGGGAATGAAGCTTAGTATCCACAAATGCCCCCAGATGACGTTCACTAGGAAGCGCCAGCCAGTAACTTTTGCATACTCAATCGGCGGCGTCCAACTAAAAAAGGAGGAAGTAGTAAAGTATTTAGGTGTTAAATTTTCTCATAATTTGTCATGGAGCGCACACATCGACTTCTTCACGGCCAAAGCCAACTGCATGTTAAACTTTTTGAAACATAATTTCAGGGACTGTCCCCAAAGTGCTAAAGCAACTCTTTTTAAGACTAACGTTAGGCCGATGCTGGAGCACGCCAGTGTCCTGTGGGACCCAAAAGAGAGTTACTTGGGGAAAAAAATAGAGCAAGAACAGAGCAGGGCTGCGAGATTTGTCACAAGAAACTACAATTACAGAGAAAGTGCTACCGCTCTTAAAAGACAATTAGAGTGGGAGCCGCTTTCCTCCAGAAGAAGACGTCTTCGTTTGAAGTTTCTTCACGCAATTTACCGTGATCAAACCGGGATTAATAAAGCTAAGTTTATTCAACCCCCCAACTTCGTATCTAGGAGATTAGACCACTCGGAAAAAATTAGGGAATGGACAGCCCGAACCAACGTTCTGAAATAATAATTTTTTCCCAACACTATTAAAGAGTGGAACGCCCTGCCAAATGACACCGTTTCTATCTTGTCAAACTCACTTTTCTTTGACAGACTGTCACGTGACAGCTGGCCAGACTAACATGACTAAGAAAATGTTTTGATCCTCGCGATGCGAATTTCGAGTGATTACTGGGCACGATACTGTTGTATGTTTATTTGTTCCTACTTCGATTACTTTATTATTCTTTGAACGAAGTTGATAAAACTACATCTGTGTGTTTTCTTGTTTTTTTTGTGTGTGTGTGTCATGCGCCAAGTGAGTTATTTAATTTCGCTGTTAGCACATATTTTCTTCAGTTCATTCTTTTATCTGGCACGTACATGGAATGCAAGTCACCAATGTTTCTTTTATCATGTTCTGGGCTTGCTTTTGATTGAGTGTGTTTTCCTGTGAGCTTGCGTTATTTCTTGTTTTTTGGTACATATGCACGTGTGTATTTCTACCCTCACAACTATGTACCTCCCCCCCCCCCCCCCCCTGCAATAATGCCTACGGGCGCTGTGGGGTAACCCGAAATAAATAAATAAATAAATAAATATAAGACTACAATGCACAAAAAAACATGAATCGATGAGTGTCCCTTTTCCTCTATAGCGTTCGCCACCAATGCATCTGAAAACAAGCTAGGGATGATGAGTGGAAAGATTGGCTTTCTTGCCCCAAAATAGAAGTCAGGGTTCAAACTATTCATACATAAAGGGTCCACTAAGGTCGCATGGGCATATCCCATTCAGCAAGCCAGCCAGTCATGGGCAGCGGGTCTTGGCCAGGGTCGTCAGAGCAACGTTGCATCGGAGTGCCTCGCTAGCTAGGTCTAGCGTTCCTTGCTAGTCCTTGGCTGTCGCTTGGTCCGTGGGATTGTTATTGATGTAGCTTTTTTGGTATTCGTGGTTCCAGCGTTTGTCTCCACAGTGTTCAGTTTCAAGTACTTTTCCTTTTCTCTTGCTGCCTGAAGTCGGGACACGCACGGAAAGCACTTAGAAATGCCTGCTGGTCGTCGCAACGGCTAAGCGAGCAATGTTGCCAGCCATGTGGATTTGATTCTAAAAAGTGTGCACACCTCTGGAGCTTTTTGTCGTAAGAATGTTTCGTGAATAAGCTGTGACCCGCTGCGGACGACAAAGGCAAGGCGTCTGCCTTGCCTTTGTCGTCCGCAGCGGGTCACAGCTTATTCACGAAATATAAATATAAATTTGCCGAATCACTTCTCGGCCATCATGGGCACTGGTGATATGATAGCGTCTTCGTCCTCGTTAATGTCATCATAGCCACCACACTCGTTGCGTAGGTCGGCCTTCACACAGAAAAGGCAGCTTTGCCCAACGCTCTGCCGGCTCCATGATACGCTACAGCCCTCGGGTACTTCGACTAAGCGATATTGTAATGCGTTAACGCCTCCAAGTGGCAAGGCTGATAACTACGGTACGCTTTCCCCTGCATGATAACGACAAAGCCGCGCCGGATCTGCCGAATTTCTCGAGATGCATCGTGCTCTTCGATGTCAAGTTTTGAAGTGCTCGCCAAAATCCCAGCAATTAGAACGAAAAATATTGACATCTGCTTTAAATACAACCATGCAATTATCAATTTCAGGTTTAGCTGATCGTTTTCGACTTATTTCTTGATGTTTTCTGTATATTTTAAGTTTCGATTTAGCCTCCCTTTAAGCAAAAATCACAAAATACAACCACAGCCACGAGCGCACTGAAACCAAAACCAAGCAAATTGAAGCCACACATTGGCGGCCAGTACACCAGCGCCCTCTATTCGCCGGTCGGGCAACTACCAAGATGAAGAGGTCCATGGTTCACAAGTCATTTCTATCAGTCATTGTATATAATGATATAATGTATACATACTATATACATTATAATGTATATAATGTATATAGTATGTATACATGCTGTCTATAATACAGGATAACTCTCATCCATAAAGGAGAAAGAAGGGGAAAAACCAGTTGTGTTTTGTAGTCCTCTGCATTGTACGCGAATGTGATAAAGGCTAGGACTGTGCCTCAATTGTGATGGTCAGGGGCAATGTACATTGCAATCAAAGATAACGCTAAACAGATTGCACATAACCTTTGAGACATTGCAAGCCTTTTTTTCTCGCTCTAAAGTTTGTGACGTAGTCACTGAGGCAACGTGGATGCCTTGTAGCACGTCCTGGGCGTGTCGCTTCGGCTTAGTGGGGTGGCATTTCTTCTGCCTATGCGAATATTTCCAGCGCCAGATTTTGCTGCTGTCTGCCTTCAAAATGTTTCAAGGTTCCGGGTGTACGCAATTTTGTCTTCTGCGCTACCGACTTTGCAAATGCCGTAGTAGACTGAGCCGACTGGTCGAATGACCTCGAAGGGACCTTTAAATGGTGGCACTAGATCATGGTCACTGGCCTGTGGCCAGTTCAACAGAACCAGATCTCTAGGATTGAAGCTATGGTCACTGCAATGAAAAGAGTATTGTCGCTTACCTACTAACTTCGTGCGACTGCATGAGGTTTGCCAACTTTATGGACGTTTGCATGTTGCACTTCGTGCAACATGCAAAATGTCAGGCTGGTCTACACGGAAGTTGTCGGAGGTTATTGTACCAATCTGAAGTCCCCTTGGGAGACTGGGCTGATAACAATGTAAAAGAAAAAAAATGGAGAGTATCCGATGGAGCTCTACTCCGCAGTGTTGATTGCCAGCAGTACACTGGGCAAGTGCTCAAGTCCCATGTCGCGAGCAATTTTCCTTCAACGTGTGGACCAATGTTGCGCTGGCCCTTTCAACCAGTTCATTTGCTTGCCGAGCGTAGGGTGGTGCAGGATGGTGCTCGATGCCATACTTTTTTAAAAATTGCTTCGTCATGTGACTGGCGAATGTGGGTCCGTTGTTCAAGATGCAAACGCACGGAGGTCCAAAGCATTGAACGATGTCTTGTTCTAATGATTTTCCTGACATTTGCTGTGGACAAAGAACATGTGGCACCTGCAAGTAAGTGACGGGTGGTGTGGTCAGTCTGCACAGACAGGTTTCCTGCATCACTTTGGGGGCAGTGAAACGATGGGATTGCCTGGGACACAATCCCACTGTGTGCGAGAAAGTTGAAGTGTTCTCAATGTTCCATTGGCAAGAGTGGTTTGGCGATTTGTACCGTTCACACGCTTCACACCCACAAACGTAGGCTCCGACATCTTTGCATAGTGCACCTAGTAGCCTGAGCGTACTCGTTCAATACTTTTGTCATATTCGGGTGGCCACTGTCGTCATGACAAAAGCAGGTTATTGTTGAGTGCAGTACAAAGCAAATTAAGAGCTGTTCTTTCTCACGGCCTCCATTTGTTACGTGGATTAATACAGAGTATAAAAACTTTAAGGGGTCGTGAACTCGTTTCTGGTTGAGTGTCGGGCTGGTTCTCCAGCTTCTCTAGAATTTGGTGGCAGTACTCGTCAGTTTGCTGCATGTGAACAAGCTCCAAATCCTGCAATTTCAACACGAGACATGCCTGTTGGGGAACATGGTAGCGAGGCAAATTTTCAGCAACATTTTCCCTCCCTGGTCTGTGGATGGCAGTGAAGTAGAAGGCTGCCAACTCAACGGCATAGCGTGCAAACTTGCAGTTCCACTTGGCTTCAGTCACGGCGCATGCTGCTGTAAAATTGTTCATTTTGAGCACAAACGTGTGACCACGTAGTTACAGACAAAATTTCTCGGTGACAGCCCAATGCACTGCAGTACATTCGAGTGTGGTACCTACTCTCTGTGTCTTTGAGGGACCCACTTGCATATTCAATGGCGTTTCTTTTGTCTTTTGGGTGTTGAAAGATGCAGGCTTTAAGACTTTCACGTGATGTATCCATCTCAAAATATGTTTGATATTCTTGCTTGAAAAAGGAAGAGGACTGGCAGGAAATTGGTCTTGGTTTCGAGTGACATGAAACATTCTTACTGCACCTTGTTAAAGATTAAAAAAATTGCAAGGATGAGCATTTCTCTCTTTTTATGCGTGGCAGCATGTGGAAATATCAGAATTTCTGTCATTTCTCAGTTGGACACCACGGAGTACTCACTCTCAAGACCTGTCTAACTTTTTTAAAACCTTAACAAAAGACAGGAGTTCTTAAAACTGGATATCTAGGAAGTATATATCTTTAGGAAGAATTAGAAAAGGATTAGAAAGAGCACCTTTATCATCACTACTTACAAAGGATTTTCCCAGTTCTAACTTGGTACATTTAGTATACTGACAGAGCCTTCCATTTTCCAGAGGACCATAGAACAAGTAATGCTCAATTTGGAAAGTGTGGAATGCTACCTGCTTTCTATAATCACCATTGGAGGAACTGATGGGCAACATCAAGTACTTGGAGCGTGTTTGCCTATGACTCAAAAATCAGGGTGCAATAGTGCCATGTTCAAGGACTTTCCGCAGCAGCCGGAGTCTGGTGCATTTTGACACCACCCACTAAAATGACGTGGTCGGAAATGGTACAAGAACAATAGTCTTATAAAAAAAAAACAAGAAGGGAGAAGGAAAAGAAAGACTGAGACAGTTCATGCAACTGTGCAGAGTGACACAACACTCAACAAAAGGGAAAACTCCATGCAAGACACTAAACAATTAATGCTACCGGATGAAAATCACTTCCATCAATGCAGAAAAGTTATCTGAAGACCCTTCTGGACAAATTAATTAAAAGATCAGCGACACAGGAAGTCATGACCGGACGTTTAAGGTAAGTCAGAAAGTCTGAATAAAAGATTAAGGCGGAGGAAGAACCACTGGACTAAAGATGGCCTTGCTCGATAAGAAAGTGACTGGTCTGTTTCATGTATGATAATAGAGGATTATTAGCATCACTGGGTAAACACAGGTCAGCTTATGAAAAGAGCCTGTTGGATGATTGAAGCACAATGAACTTCCAACCCCTATGGCTAACATGGATACAGTTGATTCACCAACAGTGGTATCAGGCACATTGAATTCAGCCGTCGAGCAATCAGCTACTACTACGACTATGACTACAGTATGGTTCATCAAAATCCTTTCAGACCACACAAAGCAGTTGACCCTTTAACTTTTGTCTGAGCAGGAATGAATGTTGTAGGGTTGGCTGTGTCTCAAGATGACCACAATGAGAAAAAGGGATGATTCAGTTGGAGCTCATGAATGAATTGATTCGATCCTGCATGCACTTGAGGAAAGGCTATCTTATTGTGGCTATCAAAACAGACATAAACTATTCGTACAAAGCCACTGGGGTCTGTATCCAGTCCTCCACGATTTATAGTTTTCACAGTCTCATAATTTTTCATAGAAATAAGACTGGATAATACAAGCCCTCCTGGCACACACCTACCCAATTAATTTGCCACTTTGGTTTTTCTAGTTCCCTCTTTAACTGGAATGTAGCACAAATTGGCACCCTTAGAATATTGTACAATTTTTCTAACCAGCAACATAAAAAAAAAGTTTTTTGTTTGTTGCTGCACTTATTTTATGCATTTACCGTAAAATCCAGTAAGAATGCCATCCAAAATGAAGAGATAACTCTCTTCATTTTGGGCTCCCTTTGAAGATGCGACAGAAAAACTCTACAAAAAATTAGTAATAAACACTGGCGCACCTGCTACGCACCCTGTGACACGGGACCTGATAACGCAGGTTGCGGACGGCAAATTTGCATTTCAAGGTTTGTAAACGCGAGGGAATTTGTTTCCGTGGCTTCTGCTTGTTTGGTGAGTGCATGTAAGAGACTTAATTCTAGTACTCTCGGAGTTTTAGGAGCCTCTCGTGGCAACTGGAGTTAATCGTGAGAGGAGGTTTAGAGAGTCCTTTACTCCATTAATTGATCTCTGTCCGAAGTTCTGATGTCATACGCCCGCTGTGCTATCCCTCGGTACATTAGGAATCGCCCCATGATGTTGCAAGTCGATGTGGGGGACCACATACGCATCGTCTAGAACCGCAGGCGCCGACAGTAGCCTGCGGACTACGCTCCTTTTCATTTTAAGTCCGACCACAGCCAAAGCTATTATTCAATGTAACCAATTCGAGCAGTGAAAAAAAAGTGCATTGTCACAATGCAAGTGGTTTTTGTAGGTCTGCAATCACCGACTAAAGCAATCACGCACAATGAAGGTGCCGTGCTCCTGCGCTCTTTTCTTGCATACTAATTGCTTCAGCCATTGATAGCAAACCAACGAAGAAAATGAGTGCCATGGTTATGCGCTTTTTCACTTTTTACACTGTTTGAATGGCTCCATTAGATCATAGTATTGACTGAGAAAGGATTTAAGTACAGTAATCCCTCGTTATAAACAATTCCTTTTTACAATTATCGTTTTTATCCAAGTTCGACATGGTCCCGACCGAAAAACACGCATTTTGAATGGGATCATTCGAGGCGTATCGGCAGCCAACCACGCTTATTACGAAGGTCGAGGTACCGAAGGCCCGCGAGCCAACACGGAGGTGCACAGAGACCCTTGCGTTTCCTTCCCCCTTCTCCACCGAGGCAAGCGGCAAACTTGAAAAATGGCAAACAAGAAAATGGAGCAAATGGGTGATGGAGGGCAGAGCACCGCTCCCGATGCCAACAGACCGACGCAGGCAGGGAGCAGCGAGAGCAGCGTTGTTGGAATTGTTAAAATTTTTGTTAGAATTGGAAGCCCGGAACAGATTATTCCTTCGGAAGCCCCAGACGTGCGCGCCTCCGGTGTACCACCGGTTAGATCTGCGAGGTAGAGAAAAGTGGCTGGCTGGGCCCGAAATTGCCGCTGAATTCAACGTTCCGGCATCGGCTGTTTGACATTGTCCACCATTTTGCAGAACAAGCAAGGCATACTGGACGGGTTTGAGAAGCTTCTCATGCAAGAGAAAGCGTGCCTGCAACCTGAAGATGAAAGATCGCCAACTGCTTCGTGCACATTGGTTTTTCTCTCGCAAGCACGCTTGCCGAGCCGGTGCACAATTCCCAGAGCTGCAACAATCTCTACAGGAGCATGTGAAAACGTCTTGGTGAAGCTACCGAGTAACTTTGATTCGTTTACGCTGGCCGATGCGGATGTTCCCACTGTTGCTCCTGTCACAGATGCTGCAATCGAGGACCTTGCATGCAGCCAGGGTAAACACGAAGCGACGTCAAAAAGGCACCTCGGGAAACGCCGACGACTGCAGAGATGCGAAACATCCTACGGCTCCTTCGAAACAAAGTGGAGTGTAGCAGCGGTGACAGTGTTTTTGTGATGCCTGGAGCAGTTCAAGGACTGAAGCCCGGATAAAATTCTCGACAAACTCCACTTAACTATAATTTAACTCGGTAAAGCTGCCGCAAAATAATCATAACCGAGGTTTGTTTGATTAAATATACAGTAAGAGTGTTCCGCGGTGTTCCTGTTCACCTTTAAGGCTGCTGGCGCTGTTTTTTTGGCTCTACTGCTTTTATCAAATTACCGCTCATATTGACTTTTCTTGCTGTCCCACCAACTTTGTTATAAAGAGGGATTATTAAATTATGATGGACCAAGTATCACCCGCCGCCGACGGTCGTCTGCAGACTAAGTATGCTGGACTATGTACAACACGCCGGCAACAGTCACCTGCAGACAAAGTATGATGGACTAAGTATGAATCACCACCTACAAGCGCATCTGAGCTACCGTATTTGCAAATTTTTTTTATAAAACGTGAGTTTTTTTTTTGAGATTACGTGCTCCAAAACGCACCTCGCGTTATATTCGGAATCGAGTTCAGCCACGAGGTGCGCGAGTCTGGAGAAAGCCAGAGGAGAAAGCCATTCCTCTGGTTCAATGGAAAATATCCGGTGGGAAAAGAAGTGGGTGTGTGGAAGGGAATTTATTAGCTGCTGGGCCACGTGAAGGGGCGAATAGAAAACATAAATCTTTTTTATCGTTTTTGTGTTTGTACAACGCGTGCACGCCGCAAAACCTCAGCGCGCGCGCTCCATGCGGGCACTGGCCAATTCGAGCCAAGCCAAGCCGGGCCAAGTCAAGTCAACACAAGCCAAGCCAAGACCACCAACCGCGTTCACGACGCAATTCGCGTCTCCACCTCGACGCTCGCCCTCCCGCGGCGGAAACAGGAAGCACTCTAGTGAGGGTCCCCGATTCTCCTGCTCAGCAGGCATGGCGGAACTGCTCGCGATCATGGCTTGCGAAATGTCGTTTCCGAATGCAAACAACACTCTTCACAGTCCCAACGTAGTGCTGCGGCCGGTATGGGATTGTACCTTACTGGAGAGTTTCAGTATTGCGCACAGAAGCAAACGCAAGCGGTGTGCGTTTGCGTTAGAGTTGCGTGCCCCACGTTGTGCGTGCGCATCATCGCCATGCGCCATCCACGACGCACATGCAGTGTGGAACACGCAAAGCTAACACAAACACACAAGGCTTGAGTTCACTCGTATATGCAATATTAAAACTCTACTGTTTCACCAACTTCCAACGCCAACGGAACGTGCTGCAGTGAGCAGACGTGCAAGCAGGTAGGCGTTCCTTCGAACTGGAAAGGTTGAGATCGGCAAAACGACAGCGAGCAAATACAAAAGTAAATAAATGTTATGAAAAAACTAATAATTAAAAAATGATTTTCTTTTTTGTTTTGTTTTTTTGCGGGGGGGGGGGGGGGGGGGGGCATTTGGTTTGGAAGTATATTGGCGGCGACTCTGGACGTTTTGCCGATTGTCAAAAGTCTTGACTTTGATAGCACCCAATATACTTTATCCACAATTAATGTAATTTTACATGGATTTCTCACATTAGCTAAAATGTTTTCATTGATTTTAGACTATTTTTTATTTTATTGGTAATTAAAATGCAGCAATTGGAACCAGTGATGATAATTAGCACAGTTTTTATTGTCATATTTCTTTGCACATTTAAAATTAGATCATAAGCAACAAATCATATTAGAGCTTAAAGAATTACTTATTCAAATGTGAATTTTAATATTATTATTATTAATACAAATCGCGGCAATGTATGCCTCCAATTAACGCCAAGATCACGAGAATACACTATTTAACCATAATAGTCTTTCCTTCTCTTTTCTTTTCAGCATATGAAAAACTCTGACATAGTTATCAAGATAGACAAACAGTTAAACGCTGGATGTAATATGAAGTCCTACGCGTCACGCAGTGCTATAAAAACACACACACACACTTCAGCTGTCTGACTCAGATTCCGTCTTCGGGTTGCAGTGAGAGCAGCGTTTATAAGTTTATGCGTTTCGTGGACATATTGTAAAAATTTTAATTATTCTCTTATTCTTGTGCTGGGATAATTGTCATTATTTCCCATGACGATTATCTGAACGAAAAAAAGGCAGCGAGAAAGCACAGATATCAGCACAGATTTTTTCAACAACTACAAATATCAGCCTGGATGGAACAGTATGTCACAAAATGAAGTTCCGCGAACAACTTTTCTAAGTAAATAATTACGATGCGAGACACATCATGAGTCATGAAAGAATTCGAAATTAAGACCTATATTGAGAAATTAAATTCAAAATAGAGGTAAGTTTCGGTTTTGCTCCAGAATTAAAACGCGCATCCTTCCGTAAATAATACGCTAAACACCGTTCTTGTTTTCAGGTTAAATAGGTGACCTGCGCTCATAAAACATTAGCTTCCTCGTATTACTAGAAATAATTTATGTCGCTCAGTGAAGCCAGCACACTAGACAGGCTCAACGGCGGCACGCATCTCTGACCCTCACTAAACCCGCCATCTTGGAAAATGAGTGGCGCCACCTATAGTTAGTTGGAGTCGCGAATACGCAATCGTGCAACACGAGGCATTTGTTTATGCAGAGGGACCAGAACAACAAGTGTGATTGTGTATCGGATTCAGCAGTCTTTTTCTTCTGCTGCGCATTGTTTAGTTTCTGCTCCAGAGTGATCTGGTGTTTGTGTGTTGGTGCTTCTGCTTCGTGCCTTGTTTGGATTGTAGGCTGCGGAGGAGCTCGCACCGAAGAAAAGAACTACCAGACAAGCAGGTGCCGTGCTGCTGCTTATCTGCGTAGTCGCCAAGTGGATTGTAATTCGAAGGACCTGAACAGCGAGGATGAGTGCAGTCAAAACATAAACTGATATTTCTTCTATTTCCATTGACTTTTCACTTCTGCTATGCTTCCGAGTGCGAGAAATTGACGCGGCCTCGGTTCGCGTTATAATAGTAATAATATTGTTTTTTTCTTTTTGAGGGCAACAAAACCTGCCCTCGCGTTATATTCGTGCAAATACGGTAAGTACGCTGGATTAAGCATGACTTGCAACCGACAGTCTTCTGCGGACTAATTATAACTCACCTCCGACGGTCACTCGCAGAATAAGTACCCTGGACTAAGTATGAGCCACCGCCAACAGTCGCCTGCGGACTAAAGATGCCGGACTAAGTGTGACTTATTACCAACAGCCATCTGTGGACGAAGTATTCTCGGCTAGTAAGTATGACTTGCCGTCGACGGTCTCCTGCACACTAACTATGCTGGACTAAGTGGAACTCAGCGGTGATGATAGACTGCGGATTAAGTATGCTGGACTAAGTATAATCCGCCTCCAATGGTCACCTGCACACCAAGTATGCTGAACCAAATAGGCTGAAATAAGTACACTATCACTCGTCGCGGACAGTTGCGTGATACCGCAGGCAACCATCGGCGGAAAGTCATACTTAGTCCATTTCCTTGCGCTCTCCTTCATCTCCTACTTGTTGCATTGAACAAAGATGTCAGACTTCGGATCACATGGTCGTGGTTTTAATTCCCACTGAGCACTGTGGTGAATCTCTCCTGTTTTGATTGTTTGTCCCTAGTTATGATTATGTATGAACTATATGACTAATTATGCCTTGTGCATGCTTTGTATGCACACGCGTGTAACACTTTTTCGTCACACTCAACTGTTACACTGTTTCATGAAATCCAGCCCATAAACACATTCTGTGTTAATGTCTGTCGTTCACTAATCAACACTGGAGATGCCTTAAAGGAACCATGCAACATTTGCATAGATGCTCACATTGGTGCTCTGCATTCCTCAAAAGGAACAATGAAAATTATTCTCTCTGGAATCTGATGGCATTAACTATACACTGAGTATGTACATGTGAAAAGAAAATGAACAGACTTGCTATACAGACATTGAAGGTGACATACTAGCCGAGAGGGTGCAAGAGGGCGTGACGGCCAATGATGATAGCTACGACAAACCCCCTCAGATCTCCCCGCATCCCCCTGTAGCTTTCTTGGGTGCAAAGACAGCAAGCCTGAAGTGCTGCACTTACTGTAAAATCCCATAATGGCGCCAACCCCCCGGGTGGCCATCCCATTTATTTTGGTTAGATATTTGTAACGTAAAAATTCAGAAACATTGCTCGCACCCACGGTTGTCGATGTCCGACGCGATGTCCGACAGGAATTACACGAACCACACGGTCCGCGGTACCGGTACGTGTGACAAGCGAATTCGCAGCAGTTCCCGCATTTTTGCCTGCTATCTGCACGCACATTATGGGTTCCAGTGACATGCAAGTTTGCAACGAATTCTCGCGTTTTTTTTTTTCACGATTCGCAAGCACAGTGTCGGTTCTCGTGGCACGCCAGTTTGTAGCCGGTTTCTGCATGTTTATCGCCCGTGGAACATGAACCTGCGGTATCTACAGTCTGCACTATCAATTCCCGTGTGACGTGGTTTGTAGCGGGTGCCCCTTCATTTATCGTTCATTTTTGACAAGGTTTTGCTGTCTCATCCCCAAAGATAGCCCACCTCATGTCTTTCACCATTTATCTCTTCATTCTGGGTGGATGCCCTTACGAGATAGTATGGTAGATGGCTTTCTCACAAATATAGTAACTTTGAGTCACATTTGCAAGAACTACAGAATGAGGTAAATTCAAATACTATAAGATTACATAATGATATTGTCTCATGTTTCCATTGAAATGTTTAAAGCTCATGCAGCAAAGTTTACCATATGATTTTCACCATTTCATAATTTTTTTAAATAATTTGAAAACCTGCCTAACATAAATATATTTCGTGGACCGACAGACTTCAAATTAGTAAGGTTCCACTGTGCTTCAGGTTGCTTCATTATGTGCAATATGCATCATTTGACAGTTCTCTCTACCGACACAAACAAAAAGAATGCAGTTAAATGCTTACAATGTGCTCTAGAAAGCAGCTCCAACAACACACAGAAACGAATGGTCGAATGAATTGGCCCCTCACCTGGAGGCACCAAAGGGAGCTGACCAGAAAGATCACTGGTCTGAGTCTCCACTGAGCTGGAAGATGGAAGGCAGGTCTCGATGCCAATGGTGACGGTGGCGTGGCGGCAGCTCGAGGAAGATGAAGACCCACTGTCACGCTTTCCGCGCTTGCGCAGCGCCTGCAGCTCTTTCTCCGTCTTTTTGTGCTTCTCCTTCAGGTAGGCAACTTCATGCTAAGGCCACAGAAGAAAACCCGGGTTCAGAAAGACTTCTTTGGGGGCTGCAAGAGTCTCTGAGGAGTGAGCTCGGCTCCAACCAATGACAAGGTATTGAAACAGAAACTGACTTTTTTATTGTATGCGTGAAAAGATGGTATTTTTATAAAAGGACCATGAAGACAACATTAAACTCATTTTAGAAAAGATTGTTTTCCAACTCTGTAGGGACCTAGCAACGTGCTCAATCTTTTTATACAATTTTACAAGGCTTATTATTTTGTGTAAAACAAATCGATAAAACTGAAACTGACGTTCTGCTTTCCACCATACAACCTATCCTGAAAAGGAGGTGACGTCAACTATGAACTAACGGTTTCGGTACAATTTAGAGGTTATGAGCGTGGCCGGTGCAGTCAGCTGCAGCAGCGCATTGTGGTTTAAGAGCGTTGTACCATATGGCAACTGTAAGTAACCAATCGGACATTCGTGCTCCGTATGCTGCTTGTCAAGCTACTCTTTGAATTGGTTGCCACGCTTCACATGAAGCACAGATGCCCCAGTGACTCGTGGCCATTTGTCGACGCAACGCAGTCAAACACACTCAAATGCAACTGTGTGTACGGATCCTATTTACCGTCGACATCGTCCATTTCCGATGAGCGGCACTATCGCATTATGAAGAACAATAATTGTTGTGTGTCACTGTTACGTACCAAGTGAGACAGAACACCATGAGAGGCTTAACGCAGATACCATTAGCTTTACTGACCCAAGACACGACACAAGTGTACGGTCCTGCTCGAGGAGGCTCAGAGTAAAAGTGACGGAGTCTTGGGCTCGCGCAGGGGCGTTCATCTATGTCTTCGTTCCCGCATATTCGCACACAACACTTCAGTACATCACAAGCGCAGAAAGCTCTCGTTGGATGAGAGGCTAGATGGATGTACAGGAAAGACCGTGGCAGCGTGTTAGACGAGGCCTGACAGGAGCGTTTTGACCTACTAGACCCGGAGGAGTACCGGAAACTGCAGCGTGTCAGCCTGGAACATTTCCTGTAGCTCCCTTTATTCGTGGAACCAAAAGTCGTACGACATAATAAACTAAATATAATGATGTGTCCTTTTTGTTTTTCTCATCAAAAAAAAAAAATCTTATGTTGCTGGCACACTAAACACTTTTTAAGTCAATCCCCGCCCCATATTTGCGAGTGAAAGGTACTAGACAATTACAGTCGGCACGTCTGCAGACTGAAATATTACTTTATGCCTAACGCAGTAAACCTTCCTGAAAAAAATTCATGATTTTCATTGTGATTGAATTTAGAAAAAAAAAAATTATTTTAGCAGCTCACGATTGAAAACGAAAACGAGCAGACTCCGTCCACTTCAACCAATCGTCTGATGAGCCTCCATTGATATCACGCTCTACATCGCTGAAAAGCTGGCTTTTCTCTCAGTCCCTGTCCCAGCGTGATTATTGCTGGATGATAAACTAAACTGTGCAGCGTGCGCAAGCGCAACTTCGGACTAAAACTTCGTCAACATTACGTGGAACACACGTGACACCATTTCCATCGTTAAACTGAACTTTCAAATCGTGTTCAGTGTTCCTTTCATCAAAGAATGATTCTTTGATTAGAGTATATCGGGTAAGCCTTTATGAGTCACCACACATAGACACACCAGATCTCAAAATAAAGTTACAGCCAGGACACTGTCTCAAGGAGGAAAGGGATATATTTCTTGGCACCCTCTGATTGCACAGTTTTACCTGGTGGCCAAGATTACAGAAGGCTCATTAAAAATGAAGCTGCAATTAACACTCTACTCGTTACGTGCCATTTTGGCAACAAGAGTTGTTTCACTTGGCTTGTTCGTGTAAAACTCCCTCCTCTTTCTACATTTGTATATCTTTGAATTTGCCTCTGGCTACGTTTCTCAATGCAGAGCGCAAGTTTGTCTGCTCCTTTTGCAAGGGTTGCAGTGACGTCAGAATGCTGAGCTCTGATTTGCTCTGATTGAAAGATAGTGGGTAGACCTCAAGGCAGCTTGCTTTGAAGTCTACCCACTATCCTTCATTCACAGCCAATCAAAGCTCGGCATTCTGACGTCACCACAACCCCCAAAAAAGAAGCAGACAAACTTGCGCTCTGCATACTGTCACAGAAATGGAGACACGGCAGTTTCAGGTAATCTTTCGAGTTCATTCAGGGGGCGTCACAATTCTATACATGCGCAGCACAGTGTCGCATCTGACACGACAAAGGTGATGATACATTAGGCCTCCCGGACAGCCACACAGTGGCTGCCTTTCTGTCTGTCTCCACTTCCCTGTTTTTCGGTCCCCCTGCACCATCTTTGCACCTAATTCGTATGTTACCAATACGGATCCGTGTTTCCAAGGTTTATTTTCTTTCGAATTCGGGGGCGTTTTTTTCCGTGATAATTTTCGCAAACAGATTCTGCATTTTTCGGCGTCGATCTTTGGTGCCGGACGAACGGCTTTTGTCGGGGCTTTATATTAAAGAAGGTAGGACACTGGCATGGGATTCCTCGACCTCCAGGAAATATATGCGTGACTCTGAAACTTGAAGAATGGTTTTGTACCGACAAGAGAGGAAGACGAGATAAGGTGCGCGATTCTGCAGAAAGAACAGCCTTGTGGACGGTTCATCGGGGACAATGTTTTGGGTCAACATGAAATAAAGCTTTAGATGAAGATCCTTTTCTCATGATAAGGGGTAGAACAAACCAACCTGGTTTTGGGGCCATTTTTGAAGCAGCTTATGAGCAGAAAATCTACAGTTTGGAGCAGCTTAGGAGCAGAAAATCCTGCATTTGGAGTACTATTTTGGAGCACCTTAGGAGTTGTGACATCATTTTAAGAAAGCATCTTAGCCAGTTGTACCACGAGTTACAATTCAAGCGAACTAAGGTTGTGCTACAAGTGTTGGAGAGTATTGAATATATCGAGAAACTGTTCCAAAATGCGTCTTTTGTGCATTGGAACGCATGGAGCGGCATGCCAATCAATGGGCGACATAGGTGATGTTCAGGGAGTGCACGATGATGGGGCATGACAATCGCACGCAGGTCGGTGGTTAAGGTTGGGGGGAAACAAAAGCATCTGGACGGATTTCAAGGGTAACAAATGCACATAGTATACAAAGAGCACACAAACTTGCACACCACATAGAACTTTACTGTGAAATATATAAAATTGCACACACAAATATATTTATTTTCAGACAAAAATATGCATTAAAAATGAAGGTGCACGACTCCCCAATATAAATGTTACCATACATCGTACATGTGCAACGGTACGATGGCTATACTTCGTTTCACTTTTAGTGTGAGAGTAACAGAAGCTGCAAGAGCGAGATCCAGGCTTTCAGCATCCCGGCCAAGCACACGTGCTCATGCAGTGCAAGCACTGTTCAGGCCACATGCTCGAGCTTGTAGCGTTGGCTGCGTCTGGACTTAAGGTGAAACTAGGTATAGGATGTACGATACGTTGAATCCATCGAATGGATGGATGGATAGATACGGCTGAACCGAGGAATTGGGAGGGGGTTTGTGACAGCTGGCAGTGCAACAGCAAGGGTGGTCAACTGAGCTTTCACTTTCCATTAAATCTAGCTACACAGCGATCTTTGGAACAGCATGGCGCAATTTGGATCAATTTCACGCTTTTGACGCCGCTAGGCACAGAAAAGTGTAGATGAATCAAAATGGTGCAATAGAGCGATCTCGCTAAGCAATCGGAGCATGCATGACACTGAGGCAAACGGGAGGCAAACGGCCGTACATGTGAGGGCTTGCGCCGTCCCGTGCTCCACAAGCGCAGAGCTCCAGCAAGATTATTGCACGTGCAGAAAGACTAAAGTTCCCTCGATGCCTCGTGGCAGCAGTGGCGTAGTCGAACTGGCTGGTGAGATCAGTCTATTGGCGTAGCTGTCCCACCCCTGCATAAAGCTTGGGACTTTCTTATTCAAGGACAACTCCAATTTGGTGTTTTTCAAAGTTTCGCAATTTCGATAAAGCTGGATTTACCGAAAACGTGAAGCCCTAGTAATTATGTGCGCCCAACGAGCTTTATCATTTTGCACTGGCACATATGTTGAACTTCCCTGCTTTGCACCACTGTGCAAGAAGCAGTGACTGACACTGAAGAGCATCAGGTTTAGCTCGATGTGCCCGAAAAATTTTGTTCACTTGTAGGTCAACATTCTTTGAACCTACAAGTCCACTTATAGATCGACCCCTAACTGTAAATACCAGTTGGAAAAAGAGTCAACAAGTAGTAGTTGAACAAACACGGCAGTTCTCTGCGGCCGTGAAAGTCCACGTGAAATACATTGCTGTGTGAGAGCTGCTTCTTGTCTCCTCTATAGGTCCCCGAAAGCGTTATTGGTTTTTATATTTTCCCAGATCATGCATTTCTCCTTCTGGTCTCATAAAACATATCAACAATAGTCTAGTCCTACATCAGAGTAATTCGGCACTAAGGACACATTGACAAACAATATTAAAAAGGAACTGCGAGATCTTCAAGAGCAAAACAAATTTTGTAAGGTCGAACACTATAAGAAAAAGATAATTGCGGACTGTGATTGGGCAGTGTACCTAGCAAACAATCGCCAAAGAAATATCCCCATAAAGGAGGGATCTTGAACATTCATAATCAATTTAGTCGCAGTTGGCAACAGTTCAATGAAAAGGCTCTCTGTGTGAGGTGTATTATGGTTAAAGATCCGTATTCTCGTATAAGCCAATAAAATCCTTGAAACACCAGCGAGTGACATTTTCGCAACTTGGATTGATTCGGTCAAACTGCGACACTGAAGGTTACAATAATATGTACCGTAAAATTCGAACAAACCTTTCTCCCGTGAAGAACTGCCCCCCTTGTCCTTATGGCTAAACATCTGTGGGGCTAAAAATGCCAAGACTGCCCACCCCATCAAATTCAGGAGATAGGATTCCTTGTTGAAATTACAAACTGGGTAGATA